TTTTTTTTTTTTTTTTTTTTTTTTTAGTAATAATAGTTGTATCTCGATTAAATATCAGCAAGAGAAAAATAAAGAGAGAGAATATTAAGAGAGAAGAAAAGAAAGAAGAGAAGTAAAAATTAATCACGTTAGACTCCTTAATAACGTCGGTCTCCGTAATTGTCTCGATCCGAGGAGCGAAAAAACAGAGGGTCGAGGTTTATCAGGGGCGGCGGGCCGACTGTTTAGCGAGAAAATCAGAACATAAAGCCGTCCCTGTTTCTAGGTGTGCATATATATGTATATATATATACATATACACAATCTTTCTCCGTTACTTTGATCTTCCTTCCATTACACTCCGGCAGACCGTCGCGGTACAACGACCCTCCTCTAACGCTCATTTGCATAACGGTAGTATTCGATTTTTACGTTCCCGAGAAAGGTTGTCTATTTCGTATTGCGCGCAATCCTTTGCCTTATCTCTTTATACATACTTTCGAAAATATATTTCTAATCCAAGTTTCGACCATTCATTACGAAATATCGCAATAATAAAAGGATCACGAATAATATATTTGGGAATAAAGTATTGAAATGTTGCTCTCTCTCTCTCGAGTATTTTTGATCGAATAAAATTGAGAGAATATAGAATAAAGGACAATTTATCCTTGCTCTCAAGAGTTCTAATTTTCGTATTTTTTTCTTTTTTTTTTTTTTTCGAGATTGTCTACGATCGAATGAATAAATTCGAGAGATTTGATTCCCGTATATAGGTATTATAATATTTCTGAAATTTGTCGACGAAAGGACAAAAGTGACATATTGTCAAGGAATGATAGCGCGCAGGGCGCCCACAATGGCCGAACATTATTCCAAGCCGTCGCGGCGTGACGAGCGGCGTAAATTTATTTTTGGCGCGAGTTATTTCCGTCCGGGTCGACGAGAACGCCGGCCAGAGAGGAGAAACGCGCGCGCGCATGCGCGCAAGCCTTGGGAGAAAATTCTGGCTCCGACTTCCTGCGCAAATTCTTCTTCTTTCGAAGCGAGCCATCCCCTCCCATTTTCTCATCCGTCGTCTTATCCTTATATCTTATCGACCGATGAAACGTAATCTCACTTCTATCTACCATCTCGATATATTTCGTATAGAATTCGAAAAATTGTTTGTTTGTAAAGAATTTTTGAATTTTTTCCTCCCCACGATATCTTCTGGAATTATATTATATCTGCTTTTAATATACAAGAGACGTACGATAAAGAAACTATACTAAAGCGATGAGAATGGATCGATATTTGGACAGGAGAAATGTACAGGTTGTGTCGTCAATCGATTCGACTCGTTAGAAGGATAAAGGAGACGAAAATAAAATAAAATAAGCAATTGAGATAAAATTTATTCTCGACCCACCATCGTCCCAGAAAGAAAAAAGAATACGTTAAATTACACCATTATCTACTACTATTTATCTTCCAAATAAACTTCAATTTTGAATAAGCGACGTTACAAAAATTCTATTCCATTTATAAACGATTCTAACAGCGTTTTAAAACACGTATTACTTATCGATACAACTTCTTGCTAGCAGATGAAATTTCAAACATTTTCTTAAGCACGTATATATGCAAATTAGAAAATAGAATATGTAAATTTCAATGAAGCAGAAACTGGTTCAACGAAAGACGATCATCCATCGGGTCACGAGTCGCGGTTGACTTAATTAAGAAAACGTTTTAAGTAACAAGAATTGCCCTTATTCTTGCCCACCACCGATTCAATCGGTGGAGCCGACTTCCTACCGGGAAGTGACGTAAACAGGAGCAATTAGAACGTTCCACATGGTTCATAAAGAGGCGCGAGTAAACTGGCGCGTAAAAATTCTCGGCCACTTCCTGTTCGCCGTTCTTGGCTGACGAAGAGATACTTCTTCGTGTCGTGGTCGTGATTTCGACCCGCCCACTAAACGGCTGCTCGTGTCGATCCGAAATATGCAGATGTCGCGGATAAACCCTCGACAGATCCCATCCCGACCATACAAGGAGCCATGATCATTTTTTTCTTAGACAAATTCCATTTCCATAATTTTTTCGATAAAAAAAGAAGGCGATTTTTAATTTTTATTCCATTGGAAAATTTCTCCATCCAATTTTGATTTTTAGCAGAATTGAATTCAGAGAGACGTTATATGACTCTCGAAGAGAAAAATCTACAATTTTTTTATTTTCGAATAATTTCGAGATTTTGAGGATAAATTTGGACAAATTCTATTTCGATAATTTTTTTAATAAAAAAAGAAGATTTTTCGGTTTTATTCCACTGGAAAATTTCATTACCCAATTTTGATTTTTAACAAAATTGGATTGAGGAAGGGAAAAATCTACGATTTTTTTAGTTTCGAATAGTTTCGAGATTTTGAGGGTAAATCTTGGACAAATTTTATTTCGATAAAAAAAGAAACCGATTTTTAGTTTTTATTCCACTGGAAAATTTCTCGACCCAATGTTTTTCGATTCTTAGCAAAGTTTTAAGACATTATGTAACGTCTCGAGAAGAATCTAAAAGTATAAATTTCGAGGATAGTTTCAAGATTTCGAGTGACTCATCTCTAATTTTTAAGGAAGATCATGAAAGTTTCAACAACTTTCGTAAAAATTCTTATTGACTCACGGTCGAACTTTTGTCGAGCAAAAAAGCAAAGTTCTGGAAGGGAAAAGGTAAGGGAAAACTGTTTGACAAAGAGTCGTCACGGTGGCCCGTATACGAGACAAGCCAATTGCGTAAAATAGTGGGCCAGTTTCGGTGGTTGCCAAGTTGTGCAACAACTGCCATCCCAGAAAACGAAATATGCGCATACCATGATGAATCGATAACTTTGCATTTGTCAGGCCAATCATGCATTTCTAAATATTCGGCAAAATTGTTTCGATTTCGAAATGAAATATTTCTCGAAAGAAAAAAAATTAATTGGACACTACCATTGTAGTCAATCGAAAATCGTATGTTTTGATTCTAAATAATCTTACTTCCATTAATTAAGGGAACACGAGATTCGAACTCTCCTTCGAATTTAACACTTAACCTTTTACTGAATGAGAATGTTCCCGCAATTATCACGAAGCTACTACTTACTTTCCCAATGATTTGAAAGTCTAATTCACCTCTCTACGTTCTCTGTACACACATCGATACAATTTAAGAAATCATCCCCAGTTTCTATCCATACCAAGACACGAAAATTAATTACTAAAAACGAGTTATCAAAACAAAAACAAAAATCAAATTATCGCATATATAAAGATCAAGAATCGCTCTGTAAATAAATAGCTCTTCGAATTTATGATTTACTCTTCACGGACTAATTTTATGGAGAATAATAATAAAAAAAATCCCTAGAAGAAGAAGATACTCACCAATAGTTTGTTGTCCACGGTCTTGACAACGATCTCCTCAGGCGTATACTGGGAGACGTCGAATCGAAGTTTCAGGCATTTGCTGTCCCCTTCGTCCTGAATGAGCGGGCTGTTCAAACCATCGAGCCAGGCCGAGTCGTGAGGGGGGCTGAGAGAACTGTTTTGAGTGCTCTGCGTTGTGGTGCTGAAAGGTACAACAGGACACGATTCGTTCGATTATCGACTCAGACTCGTTTATCGATCGAGCAACTCGTATATTATTATTATTATTATTAATTATCACGGGACGAATATGTGAACGACGTTTTAACGACGAATGAAAAACGATTATATTATTAAAGAAAAAAAAAAAAAAGGAAAAAAAAAAAAAGGAAAAAAAAAAAGAAGAAGAGAGAAAGAGAACAAGACAACAAACGATAAAAAAAAAAAAAAAGAAATCTCGACAAAAGACACGTTCGCCTACCAAGAGGGGAGGGGTGGACCTGAACAGTGCACAAAGTTCGAGAGAAACGAGAATCTTACCTAGGATTGCGATTGTGATGATGCAACGAACGGGAGACAACACAATAGCAAACACAACATTGAAAAAAAAAAACTGGCTCACGATGGATGGACGGCTAAAAAATATTCTTGTGCATCTGAAGCGCTCAACTTGGTTAAATTATACCGAATTAAGGTTAGAAGCTCAATTTGCGTGCCACGCTATATAGCTCGGTTCGATCATTAGCCGTAACCGGTGTTGTGCTTTCGCGAAACCCCGCCACAAAAGCTTCGATATTATTTATTATAAACTACTTGGGTTAATTCGTTTTGTCAAAAGGGGGTTAACTTGATCTACTCGTGAACAACTCGTGCCCGTTACCTTTTATAGTGCTTCTTGCTGGTGGTGGCTTACGATTAGAAGTGAGAAGAATATATATGTATATATATATGTATATATATATATGTATATATATATATAAGGATATACAGAGGGATAGAGATAAATTACACACGGAGACAAAATGGCCGTTTCTCGATGATCTGACAAAATTTTCATCTTCGATAAAAATAATAAATTTTTCAATGCAGATACATTTAAAATTCGCATCTCGTAATATTAATATTAATATTCTGAGAAAATATATCTGGAGAGAAAATTTCGAGCAACAGGTTTCTATATATCCGGCATCAAATGAGCGACTCTATACTTTTTCAAATATTTGGAAAATCTTAAATTAGAATTAGAATCTTGGAGATAATTGATCACTTGCTCGAAACTGTCATCACTCGATTCATCATTTTTTCTCAAACTTATTCAAACTTTCAGGTCATCGAGAATGGGAAAACAAAGAGAGAGAGAAAAAAAAAAAATCGTCTATCAAAAGGGATAATTACAGGGACAATTACAGGGAGTTTTATTATCAAGGGTGTGGTCTTTCTTTGTATTTTTTTTTTTTTCTTTTTTTCTGTGTTTTACACAGTAGCGTCACCTTTTGAAGCTGTCGAACGCGGACCGCGTTGGCGGTGCTGCAGGATCGACCTTGTCCCAACCTTCGCTCTTCGAGGTCGTCGAGGTACGGTGTTCGCTGGTGCTCGTGTGATGTCGACTTCAAGTTAGTCACCAACGTGCCAATGCAGAGAGCCAATCAGAAGGCGAGATAGAAGTCGAGCAAGGGGGGAACAGGGGACATTATTATTTTGTTAACTTCGGTGGTTAGTTTCGTTCAATTCGCATTTATTCTCCTCTTTTCAGTCGCCGATCTTTTGTTCTATTATTGGCAAAGTTGTTATTGGCAAAGACGAGTATCTTTTGTTTTTTATTTTTTTCTTTTTCCAATATCATTTTTTCCACTGCTTCCTGGCATCAAACGGGAATCGTCCATCGTCTCTCCCTTAGTCAGAATCTTTTACTAGTTTTCATTATCATCGATTCAGAGTTAATTTCGCAGTAATTTAGAAATTTAAAATTTAGATAGCAAAGTTTTATTTGCGTTACGATTGTTTTCAATCCGAGAGGAGAACGATAATTCGAGAGAAGAAGAATGGTACGTCGGTTTGTCGCCAAGAAACAGTATGTTGAAGAGGAGAAGAAGGTCCATTTCCAAAGGATAAAATTATACTCCGTATATTTACATGTGAAAAGAGGCGTAAGAATAGCAGAACTGGAAGTTACAGAACCCAGTAGTTGAAAAAAAAAAAAAACCGTTTACAGCGTGTCATTGGTGTCAGAATGATGATATTTCAGAATCTATATCCGCTTTTTTTTTTTTTTTTTTTTTTTTTTTTTT